ATCTATCTATCTATCTATCTATCTATCTATCTATCTATCTATCTATCTATCTATCTATCTATCTATCTATCTTTCTTTCTTTCTTTCTCTTTTGGACTCTGACATTTGTTTAGATGTAGAATACACAAATCCACTGCCACACCAGGTGTGAGGATCCACATGTTAGTTCCAGTGAATGATTCATCAACAATTTTAGCTACACACATAAATAGAGCACGAGGATAGCCATTGTTCTCCTCCATAAAACATTCTCTTTATAAGGGATGACATACTGCAATCCTCAATTCATGCCAGATTTTGTTGTATACAATTTCATTATCAAACTGATTTATTCTCTTTTACTCACCCTGTTTGTGTTTTATGTATTGTATTAATCCTTTATCAATATTGTCATGCACTATGAAGTGTCCTTTTCTAATTGAGCTTAAAAAATATTTAGTTTTGATTTAATGTTTTAAAAAAAAAAAATTATTATAAATATATATATGGATGTTTTATATATGTACACACTCGTACACACTCACACACTCACTCACACACTATTATTATAGAAGAGATGAGCATTCTTAATTACTGAGAATAAGAATTCAAACAAGGCATATCAACAAACACTTCCTAAAACAGGTCAGTGATTCAACAGTCATTGCACTTTTTGTTTTTCACTGAATTACAACTGAATTGTACAATCTACACACACTCACTTTGGCGATGGTAAGGGGTTGGCTGAAGTCCTGTCCTCCAGTAAGTCGAAAGCCCCACGGCGCGGGTCCATCCAGCACAACAGTGAACGGCATATCCACAGCAGGTGTGTGTGTGTGTGTGTTTCGAGTGTGATGGTGAATTCAACTCTAAATCCTTTAGAGGAGATTGAAGACCACTCCTCCAGAGTGCTGGCTTTATCTCTTGCTTTATACTGTAGCTTTCTTTCTCACTTTTTTTTCTTTTTCGTAATGCTCTTCCCTCTCTATCTGTCTGTTCATCATGGTTTCTCCCTGAACTCCCTCTCCTCCGCTCCACTAAGATCTCATTTTTCTTCATTTCTGTGCCAGTTTCTCTCCATTTACATCTTAATCTGTTTTATCACATAACTAATCTTAACCACCTCAATCTGATATCAGAACAATACATTATACTGTTACTATGCCCAACCTTGTTTACACATTCATTTTTAGAACCAAGAGACTTTTTTCCAGTTTAAAGGAAGAGCTTGCAAATGTCCAGAATGTTCAAGCTGCTCTTTTCCATATGAAAAAAATTAAAAAGAAATATTAATAATAATAATAATAATTGTCATTCCACCTTTTAAAACCTAATAATCTTCTTTCAGTGATGTATTTTTATTTATTTTTTTGTCTGTAATGTCTAAAAATAACAATTAATTTGCTTTTTTTTTATTGTATTTCCTTTTTTGTAAGGAATAATTTTGTAAGGAAATTAAAGACTTAAAAGAGAAAATTAGTTTTGTGTGTTTTTTTTTTTTTTTAAGAAATAGTTATCTTGATCATGTATACAAGGCTTGCATAGAAAAGCTTCCATATAGCTTGCATGCTTGCTATATAATTTGTTTAGAATGTGAAAAAGAAAATTGTACAGATTTTGAACAACAGAAGGCTGGTGCACTATTGGACCAGTCACACATTTTTAGTTCAATAAAACTGTTTCCTCAAACTAAGTGGTTCACTTGGTGACTTTTTGAGATATGCAATCTGAACAACAACAACACACACAAATGTGACTTTATCAAAATAATCTAAGTGGTCATAAAAAAGCTGTTTTAGATGCAAAAATGATGAACAGCAAATGTGTGGCCATTTTTGTCCAGCCTCGGAAGGTTGAACATTAGTTCAAGGTTCCCTTTATTGCTAATATAAGAACGACTGATCTTTGATCAAAACGTCAAAGAAACATACAGCCACCAGGACTCTGCCTGCTCTGGTCCTCATGGCTGCTTGTATGGGCCTGGAGAGAGGACTCACTGCTTCTGCCCTTATTTGGTGAGTGAACGAAGTGGAGGCTTGTGAAGTCTCACAGGCACATTCTTCTATTACCAATCTGGATCTTGCTGTATTACACGTTTAGTTAAGAAGAACCCTGTACAGTTCTTCTAGTTTTTACATATTCTCCTCTTGTGTGGCCTATTTTTACTCTTCCATTCTGTTGATATAGTCATTATAAACTCACGGCAGCAGACATGATTCCAAATGCAAACTCTTCTCTGTTTTCTTCCATTGCTTTTCTCTGACACAAACTGTTGGGCTTCCTTCCTTTCTCATCTTATCCGGTCCATTCCTACATCTTATGGTTCAGTCCACTTTGAATATATGAAAATAAATGACCGAACTCTAATATAATACATGTGTATTTTTCTTTAACAACAATGTAACCCCAAAGTCATTGCCAGAAACAGATTTCAACAGGCCTGAATGATTTATTCCATAAAAGGTTTTGGGGGATATGGCCAAACACAATAAAAGTCACTGACAGATCTTTTTTTTTTTTTTGGCTACAGCTACTGAACTAAAAGCTTGACCAGTGTGTTCACAGTTTACACAAAATTAATACTCAGCATTAAATTGACCAAAAGTGACGGTAAAGACATCCTATTTCAAATAAACACTGTTCATTTGAACTTTCTATTCATCAAAGAATCCCGAAAAAAAAAACCATATAACTGTTTCCACAAAAATATCAAGCAGCAAAAAAATATTAAGAAGAACATATTGATAATAATAAGAAATGTTTCAGTATATTGTACCAGTATAAGATTTCTGAAGGATCATGTGACACTGAAGACTGGAGTAATGATGCTGAAAATTCAGCTTTGCTATCATAGGAAGAAATTACATTTTAAAATATATTAAAATATAAAAAAAGTTGTGTAATAGTATTTCACAATAATACTGTATTTGCTGCAATTTTGACCAAATAAACACAGCCGTGATGAGCATAAGTAGCTTCAAAAACATTTTTAAATATTCATACCTACTGCAAACTACCACCAAAAACATTAACAATATTAATACTAATACTAATGCATATTGTTGTGGTTTTATCATTTAACTTCTATCAGTGAAATGCTTTTAAGTTTGCCTGTGTTGACTTTACAATAAACAACTGCTTTGATGTTTCTTTCTTTCTCTCTCTTTTCTTTAGGAGCAAAGAAAAAATAAAAGGGTAGCAAAATACTTGAAATTAATATACAAATTACAATACCAGTATTCACATATCAGAACCGGAGGCAACACATAAACAGAGAGGCTCAAATAACTGAGCAGAAATTTATTGGGTACGGAACAAAACAAAAGAGCAGAGACAGAGGGAGAGGGAGAGAGACAGAAAAAGAGAGGGGGCAAGCTTTATTTGAAAATGAGCAGGTTAAACTAGATTCTCTCAAGCTCACCAGCTCATCAAGCACACACATCAAATAACACTTTATGCTATTCAGTCAAAAGGCTATAAGGAAAAAGGCAAAAATATCCTCCAATCCACTTTAGTAGAGCAGAGTAGTTTGCAAACAGTGACAAAATATCTCCTGACTCCAGTGTGCATCAGTCTCCATTCTGTGCTGAAAGAAGTCCTTTATTAGTCCCTAAAATGTTTTTTTTTTGCATACATTTTCTTTCTTTTTTGCACCAAAGTTGTTAAATAAATTTGGCACATGGGATGAAATACAAAGGACTAAAAAACAGATTATATGAAACCAAAAGTGATAATATATATATTAACTTATAATATAAGTGAAACTCATGTACAATACAATACAAAAGCACATATAAAGTATCAGCAAGCACAGCCGTGAAGCTGGAAAATGCAAACAGTGTGAGATTAGAATATTTAAAGCTGAAGTGTGTCATTTCTGCATATTAAACAAAACTGCAATTGTTTTCAAACAGGTTTCCTTCCCATCTGCCATTGGTCAGCCAAACAGAAAGCCCCGCCCACTGATTGTGCTCAAGTCAACAAAAAGGTTTCCTCATAGCTCTCTGCATATTAAGCAACGAAATGCAACAATATTTCATTACTGACATTCTTACACACTTCAACCTTAAAGAAAACAAAAATAATAGAACTAATAAATGTTTAAGGTGCTTTAAGATTGCTCTGCTGTCTGTGAAATTCATAGACACCCTTTTCCATATACTGAATATGCGTACTTGTAAAAGCTGATGCAATACAAGCTATATGCTTTCAGATGAGAACACAAGTGATACAGAAAATACTGATATACAAATCCTTCAAAAACTAAAACATTTTGAACGCCAGCCAAGCATACAAACATTCATCAAAGACCAACAGCTCTCTCTATTGCATTTTATGATGCAATTTGAAAGGAGTGAAACTCATGAGAAATGTGGCAGATAAATTGCATCATTTCAGTTTTATATCAGAGATCAAACTTTCAAAAAAAGGAGAAAATTATGCTTTAGATAAATTAATTTAGGTTAACAAATAAAACAATTAAACATCATAGCAGGCTCACCTTTTAACATTGTTGCCATTCATTACTAAAACAAGCAATGATTGAATATTAATTTACATGTTTTTATACTGTATTAAAGTCAGGTGATTCACTCACAATTCTAAAACTCAGTCCGTTCATAAAATTCTCAAGTAAACATTAGAAAAAAGTTCCAAAGTACCAAATTCAATAAAAGCATCTTTCCTTTCCAGAATGTCAATGCACTTTCTTTTTAAAGACAACTTATACAAATACCCACAATGCACTGATAATTATACGAACAGTATCCTATACTAACGATTGCCACTTAGACAATAACAAAATTGCTCCATGACAGTTATTTTGTAATTCTGTATGGCAAAAGTATTGTTATCTATACAATTAATGGTTAAAACACATCTGTTCCTATCACTTGTTAATTTTGGCCACACACAAGGGGAATGAGCAATTTCATAATTGTCCATGATATTGCCTTTAGCTCATTTTAATGAAACTATCAATCCTCATCTATAACCAGTGGTCTCTATTGCTATTAACCTTGCACTGTTTATTACACAACACACAGATAATACACACACACTCAGTTCAACACTGATGCCTGAGGTTTCTTCTCAGTATCATTCATACTGATCTACTGACTTCACTCAGTACTGAGGCTGCCTGAATCCTCACCGTACTAACTCTGAGCTACCGCATCCCGGAAATGAACAAAATGTCAAAATAACAGGAAAAAAACATTGATGAATGTGCTGTTGTCAGAATAGCAGATGAAGGAACAGCAAGGAGACAAGAAAACAAAGTGCTCAAAGTGAAATAAACTTCAGTGGTTTGTCTGTGCGGACATGGCAGAGCTAAAACTGTTGTGTTTGTGAACACACTCACACATATGGACACACACATGTTCTCAAAGGTGAGGTGCCTCATTGGCCCTACACAGTAGGCACTGGAGTGGCCGTATTTGTGCCATTGTTTCCTCTTTGTTAAAGCGGTTTAACATAGTTTCCTGGGAACGTTCCAAATAAGCTGGTTCTCCGAGAGGTACCTGAAAACAAAGACAATTATCTGCAATACAATGCAATAACTTTTATTTAACAAACATGTTTACGTGGTATAATGCATAAAAGATGACAACATAATGTACATTATTATAATTACATGACACTTTGGGATACTTGATTCTGACTGGTCAATCACATAATGTGATCAAATATTTTTGTATCATGATGGCTGTATAATTGCCTACTGGTCTGATTTCCCACACTCCCCACATACCAAGCGGTGCAGTTAAAATAAAATAACTTCAACTCTAATCATGCATGCATTTGGAAATGGGAAAGAACAGTATTATTCACTATAATTCATTATAAGTAATACATACACTAACATTCAAACGTCTGGGTTCAGCAAACTCATATGCTCACTAAAGCTGTATTTATTTGATCAAAAATACAGTAAAATTTGTAATACTGTAATTATTACTAAATATAAATAAATATATTTTAAAATATAATTTATTCCTGTGATCATTCTAATATGCTGATTTGGTGCTCAAGTGATACTTCTTTTTATTATCAATGTTAAAAACATTTGCGCTGCTTAAAGGGGTCCTATTATGCTCTTTTACAAAGTCTTGATTTTGTTTTGGGGGTGTACTAGAACAGGCTCTCATACTAGGTTGTTCGAAAAACACATTATTTTTCACATATTTTACATTATTACAACACCTCTCTCCCCAGTCTGGCATGAACGGCTCGAATAGTTCCTGTATCAAATGAAGGCCCGCCTTCTGAAATACGAAATGTGCTGTGATTGGTTAGCTGGGCCAGTGTGTGTTGTGATTGGCTCCACTCGGCGCCTGGTCGGGAAATGTCACGCCCCTTACCAAAGCCACCTGCGAGCTTCAGTGTAAATATTGCGTCAAAATCAAATCAATTTGAGCGCGATTTAAACCCGGATGATTGTAACCACTCTAAGTTCGTCTGCCTTGGGAAAGCTAGCGTGTCTCCGACATAGTGATAACACTCGTTGCCTTCTCTAGTGCAGCTCAACCAGGTCTCGTCCCATTCGTCGATATTTGTGATATCACAAATCCCGGAAAATATGCGTTGTAGTCCAAACGAGTCGTTCGTTGTAGTTTTTGAAAAGTGATTTCTGTTAAATAAAATATCTCCTTTTGAAGTGGACTTTGAGCTTTGTAACTTTGCAGATCGTTTTTATGCTCAAACAGCAACATTACAGACTAACTAAAGTTGAAAAAGTGAAAAAGCATAATAGGACCCCTTTAATACTCTTGTGGAAAATGATACATTTTCTCAAGATTCTATAATGAACAGAAAGTTCAAAAGAACAGTATTTATTTGAAATAGACCTGCAATTTTTTAAAATAAATGTAATACATCTTTGCTGAATAACAGCATTAATTTCAATAAATAAATAAAAAGAATAAAAAAATAAATTATTCTTACTGACCCCAAACTTTTTAACAGTAATGTACATATATTTAATTTATTAAGTCATACTGAGTACTCTATAAGTAAATCTCGTAAAAGAAAAAAAAAAAAAAACATTTGCAGAGGTGCTGTAGTAGCTTTATAAAAGACTTATTATTCCCTATTTACTTGTTCTATTTTTTTATTTTTTTTTTATCTGTGTTTTTGTCCTGTCACTGTCATTCTGTTGCACTGTGGAAGCTTCTGTCACAAAAACAAATGACTCGTATGTGTAAACATACCTGGCAATAAAGCTTATTCTGATTCTGATTCTGACTTACCCACAAACCAGCCATCATCACATTTCTCAATGACATCAATAACGTCCCCCTCCTTCAGCTCCAGCTCATCCTCATTACGAGGCACATAGTTGTACACAGCTTGGAAGCTAACGTAAAATTAAAATAGTGTTTTTAAAATGTGCTCTTTGTGGTCAGACAGTGAAAAAACACAATAACAGTGTCTAAAAATTGAAAAGTGTACTTACGGCTCACCACCTGAATGCTGAGAATCCTGCATCATTTTCTGAAAGAAAGAGAGAGGAAAGTGTCAGTATAATGTACAGGTAACACTTTAAGGTGTCAGAATATCATGCCAAATCCAGACACAGGATGTCAATCTGTGAGTCTTCATCATCATCGCAGAGCTTAGAGAAGATCTGTTGTGTTACAACACACACAGACAGGAAACAAGAAACCTCTGCGACCAGAGAATTAAAAAAGGGATTAGAAAGGACATTTCCCAGTCTGCACTGCTGCTAGTGTCACAGCACACTCCATCCTACCCTTCGTGCTCTACTGGGTGATAAACAGGGAGATAAACAGCGCCTTCTGGTGGAAATGGGGCTACGTGGTGGCTTACCCTCAACCACCACTTCCTGCCTATAAACTGTCTGCAAGAATCAAACGCAATCAGAGATCAGCATTCTCTTACAAACTCCATCTTACAACCCCATTATTGGTCTTAATCGCACAATTAATTGTTAATTATCATTTCAGTTTAGTCATTCCAGAGTCTTGAATTATTAGGGATACAGTCCAACAAGAGATATACTGTAGTTATACATAAAAAAAACACCCTTCTCACTCACACTATTGATACACGCCATATTTAAAAAGATGGAATGAGGAATCTAAAAACTCATATATCTTGCAATATTTTTTTTTTTATTACAGTAACCACAAGCTGTTAAGATATAATAAGGACAGAAAAAGCAGGGATGAACAGATATTAAAATTCTGTCTGATACCAATAAATCAGTAATTATGTTTACTGTACTGTATGTTATGACTGATTACTGCCAAATTGCTGATAATTGCTCATTTTAAATGCCGCAAGTGAAATTAGCTATTAAAATAATTTGTTTTTTTAACAAATAATTTTATTTGAATGCCCTCCCTCCCCCCTGAGCATTCAAGGTTCATATCCACACATTATCTGAATTTTAATGTTTGTTTAATGTCGAAAACATTACGGATGAACATGTACATGCGCCACACAGCAACCCTGAAACCATTGTTTTGTTCATTCTTTTTACCTTGATCTTAGGAGATCGAGGCTGTGAACGTGGGGAGAGAGGAGAAACAGAGGGAGAGGATGGAGGGATGGATGGAGAGGGCTGAGTGGAGACTACGGCTACAGAGGGGGGGGATCAGCATTCTCTTACAAACTCCATCTTACAACCCCATTATTGGTCTTAATCGCACAATTAATTGTTAATTATCATTTCAGTTTAGTCATTCCAGAGTCTTGAATTATTAGGGATACAGTCCAACAAGAGATATACTGTAGTTATACATAAAAAAAACACCCTTCTCACTCACACTATTGATACACGCCATATTTAAAAAGATGGAATGAGGAATCTAAAAACTCATATATCTTGCAATATTTTTTTTTTTATTACAGTAACCACAAGCTGTTAAGATATAATAAGGACAGAAAAAGCAGGGATGAACAGATATTAAAATTCTGTCTGATACCAATAAATCAGTAATTATGTTTACTGTACTGTATGTTATGACTGATTACTGCCAAATTGCTGATAATTGCTCATTTTAAATGCCGCAAGTGAAATTAGCTATTAAAATAATTTGTTTTTTTAACAAATAATTTTATTTGAATGCCCTCCCTCCCCCCTGAGCATTCAAGGTTCATATCCACACATTATCTGAATTTTAATGTTTGTTTAATGTCGAAAACATTATGGATGCACATGTACATGCGCCACACAGCAACCCTGAAACCATTGTTTTGTTCATTCTTTTTACCTTGATCTTAGGAGATCGAGGCTGTGAATGTGGGGAGAGAGGAGAAACAGAGGGAGAGGATAGAGGGATGGATGGAGGGATGGATGGAGAGGGCTGAGTGGAGACTACGGCTACAGAGGAGGGAGGAGGAGGAGGAGAGGTGAGGAGTGGAGGAGATCTGGGAGGAGATGGGATGTGCTCTGAGGAAGATGGAGGAGGAGAGGGAGAGGAGGACGGGGAGGCTGGAATAGTTGGTAAAAGAGGCTGAAAGGAGGAATAAAGAGGAGGATGCAAAGAAGGAATAGGAGATGAAGGAGGGATTGGTGAGATATGAGGAGAAGGAGACTGGGAGGAGGGATTTGAAAGAATAGGAGCGGAAGTAGGAGAGGAAAGCTGAGGAAGGACAGAAGAAAGAAGGGGTTGTGGAAATGAGGAGGGAGGAGAAGGAGATGATTGATAATTAGAAGGGAAAGAAGGCAAAGGAGTAAGAATATTGAGAGTCGATGAAGGAGGAGGAGGAGGAGGAAGAGGGATTGGGGAGTCTAGAGGAGACAAAGGAGGTGAAGAAGGAGGAGTGCGGAGAGGAGAGTCTGAAGGGGAAGAAACAACTGAGGTTTGGAGGACAGAAGAGGAATAGGACACCAAAGGAAGAGATGAAGCAAGGGGAATAGGAGGAGGACCTGGTGAAGGTCTGGAAGCAGACGCTGGAGAAGAGTGAACAGCAGAGGCAGATGATTCAACATGTGGAGGAGAGAAACTAGTGGAAGATAGAGTAAGGGAGGAATCAGTCATGGGGGAGGTGGAGAATGGGAGAGATGGAGTGATGGAGGAGGAGTCAGCCTGGCAAAGAGAAAGACAGAGCTGAAACTTTCACAACTTTGAGCCTGATTGTCAAAATAACACACACAACTAGTGTGACAGATACTATGTAAAGGGGCCATATCATAGTAAATAGGATTTTTCTTGACCTTTTGAAATCGGATTGAGGTAGACTATATATATGTTACAACAAAATAACAAGGATAATGCAGGAAGGATGACACTCCTTAAGAAATGTCCAGATCACATTCACCCCAAAACCATCAGAAACACAATAAGGGATCATATTTTGCATTAGTAAAATGGTATTTTCAACACACTGTCAATCTCATTATTTTTTAATCTGATGATTCTCATTATGACTTTAATACTTCTTATAATATGGTATTGTAATACAGCAAAAACTGTTTTGCAATAATTTTTATAAAAATTATTTAAACATTTTTTATTTGCACTGCAGCAAATAATGTCATGATTATTATAAAATGTATTTATTCACTTCTTTTTCTTTTTACAGTAATGAGAATGAGGCTCTATTAAACACAGTGGTAAAGACAAACTGAGGGGTAAAATAAGCTTAACTGCCCTGAAAACAAATGTAAAAGATCTTGTGTTTCCTAATAGCAGACCTTTTCCCACTTTTCCTTTTTGAGGTATAATGTGATCTGGACACCTCTTCGTAAGTCTTTCCAAGTTATACTTGATCCAGCAGAAAACCTGCAACCCACAAGTAACCACTGTTATTATTTCACATGCAAATGAGTTAGCTAATCATAACAGAGTACATTTACATGAGCAAGTCTTAAGGCCTGTTCACACCAAGGACGATAACTATAACAATAATTATAAACTTTTAATTATTATTCTAATTCTATGAGAATAGGGAAGTCCAGGTATACATTTTTTTTTGTCCAGCTGATAAACGATAAAAACATTGCATTTAAAGCAGCAGATGACAGTAATATACATATATATATATATATATATATATATATATTGCCTTTAATGTTCAGTAGCAAAACCAAAACTAGTCTGTTTCAGGAAAACTGAGTAACATTATACAGTACATATCTGGACTTCAAAGAAAACAAAATTACAAACATGTTTGATATGGCCCCTTTGATTTAGTCACTGAACATGCAAATAATGTTTTGTATATAAAAAATAAACCTTTTCAGAATAATAAAAAAAACGAAGAGTTTTTATTCACTGCACACAACCAGACTATCATGCTACTTTCACATTGCATGTTCTACCTCTTTTTTTGAAACTGTCTCCAAGCCTGATCTGTTGTTTGTTTCATCATCCTCTTCCTTTATGTACAACTCAGGAAGTTCCTCCCACTTTAGAGCAGCTACTGGACCGTCAAACTCAGTTTTCTTATTCAAAATGACTGACAGCAGCTCCTCAGCCTTTTTCTTATGGATATCATGATTCTTATCCAGTGTATTTTCTGATTTGTGGCTTGGACTGATGGACAGTGGCTTATTAGGTAATGCTTCTTGATTAGCCATGCTTTTTGATCGATTGCCCAATCTGAATTCAAGTTCATTATAGAGTTGATTTTTCAGAAACATCGACATAAGCTCGCCATATGGATCAGGTTCATTTATTAGCCTGGATGGGTCATACTTTCGTATCAAGCTTTGCTCCTTTAAATACATATCTTTTAAGAGCTTTATACCATCATGACTCTTTTGTTCCATTCTTAACAGCTCTTGAGTATGGTCTGTGATCTGTTTCACTGGAATTAATGTATCTGGTACATCTATTGCTGTCAGTTTATCTCTGTAGAGACGTTCATGGGAATAAAGGGAAATATTTGAGGACTCTGAAGTGATTGGTCCTTGGCTAGGAAAAGGGGAGCATTCTTTTGCATCCACAAAAGGGGAAAGGTTTTGTGGCGGGGTGAACCTTTGCACAAGTGAAGCAGGGGATTGGGGGCCTGTGTAGTGTAGATTGCTGGGTAATGGAGGAGGGGTGGGTGGGACTGGACTGCCACAGGAAGATGGGTAAGTGGTGGAAACTCCCAACGTGAGGGACAGCCATTCACTAGTGACTGTTTGAAAGTGTGTCCCAGTGGCAGAATCAAGACATTGCAAATGGGAGGGCTCTGTATTGTACTTAAGCAAGGGAAAAAGAAAGCAGGAAGGTTTATAAACTTACTGGATTAAATAAGGTCTGTAGAACAGACTTTGTTGGTGTGATGGTCTAAAACTGGCGCTAAAGACTTACCTTATGTGCCTTATATGTGTGTGTGTCTCCTTGGTGACTGGGGCTCTTGGAAGGAGAGCCCTTGATCACATCGACATAGGACACAGGGAAAATGCCCTGCTTGCTTGAGCCAGGAATCTTTCCTTCATACCAATTCTGATCCACCTTCCTTAGAAGGATCACTCGCTCCCCCTACAGCAGCAAAAATATGCATGCTTTAAATACATGATTCAGGGTGGGGTGAGTTAATAAGTGCATATCATAGAGCTCGAGAGATGGCAGGGTGTGATATAGGGCTTTACACTTGCCTTTCTAAGAGAAAGCTCCACGTTAGTGTCAGCATTGAAATTGTATCGTGCTATGGCCTCTCCAATCTCTCGAACCTGAGCTGGAGGAGGAGGCCTGACAGGCTGAATCCGCTCTGGAGATGCGACCTTCTGAAGGAGAGAATGAGAGAGAAAGCCAGAGGGAATGTGATTAAGTGTGTGTCACAGTTTGGTTTAACTACTGTAAATAGGTTATTTTAACACTGACCTCGACATAAGAGATGGGGAAAATTCCAATCCTTCCTCTGTGTTCCCCCTCATACCAGTTACTGTCAATTTGTCTGATGATGTTGACAGCATCACCTTTCTTAAAAGAGAGTTCCCTGCAATGTGCAGTAAACATGCATGTGACCATAAACATGCATTACATACACAGTAAAAAGAACATTCAAACCAGTGACGCACCTGAATCTACCTTCTGTAGCAGTCACATTTCTACTTTTTCTACTGATGCAATCAGAGATGAAAATATTCACCAATAGTCCTGTACACTGTTGTAGCTTTTAAATCTTTATTAAATGTGACCCTGGACCACAAAACCAGTCATAAGGGTCAATTTTTTGAAATTGAGATTTATACACCATCTCAAAGCTGAATAAATAAGCTTTCCATTGATGTATGTGGTTTGTTATGATAGGATAATGTTTGGCCAAGATACAACTATTTGAAAATCTGGAATCTGAGGGTGCAAAAAAATCAAAATATTGAGAAAATCGCCTTTAAAGTTGTCCAAATAAAGTTCTTAGCAATGCATATTACTAATCAAAAATTAAGTTTTGATATATTTACAGTAGGGAATTTACTAAATATCTTTATGGAACATGATCTTTACTTAATATCCTAATGATTTTTGTCATAAAAGAAAAATGTATAATTTTGACACATTCAGTGTATTTTTGGCTATTGCTACAAATATACCCAAGCGACTTAAGACTGGTTTTGTGCTCCAGGGTCACAAATAAGAGCATTTTGGTCTAAGACCTTCTTCAGGCATTGCAAACACTTATTTATTAAATATTTGCTAATTACAACAATGCATTTTTCTAATGTATTACCCAATGAACTTGGTGATATGCAAATTTCAGGCTGAAATTCATGGGCCTTGAAATTCTTTAATGGTTTTATTAGCATGGCTTTTCATGCAAGCTGACACTTTCATCCAACGACAGCTCACAGCTCAATTGCTGATGCAGAGGCCAATTTGACTTAAAGCAAGTTCATATGCAGATGCGCAAGGGCAAAAACTGCAACATAAGAAAATGCAAAACAATGAAAGAAAAAAAAGCTTTGAATGGCTAGACAAGAGTAAAATTAAACACTTTCACAAACAAAAAGCTGACACAGCACCTTGCAGATTCAAATTCAGTGAGATGCTGTGATGTTATTAGCATGTGTCAGACAGAGTCTCTCAGAGTTTTACATATACTCACTTGGCAGACTGAGCTTTAAAATCATAAATAGCCCTGGCAGACTGTTTCTGATGGAGGAGAGAAGACAATATAAGATAGGTCATCTGCTTAGAGGAGACCTACAAAGCAAGCAAAAACACCATCAGCTATCCAACATAAGCACAGCTAAGCCAAATATTCTGAGACCTTAACCAAAATGAAGGTTACAGGGTCATGGGTCATTTATGGCAGAGTGGAATAAGGATTCAGGATTTAAGATTGCTTTACACTTATTCACTAATAAATGATGCTTTCCCTGAGGGTTTCAAAACATTGTTCTAATTAAATGAAAACTAGTTCATGAAAAATAGATATAAGCAGAGCAGCATTTTTACCTCTCTTTCTGGCGTGGGTCTTCTGCTTTGTGGTGCGAGACGTCCTGTATCACAGCCCTGATCTGTGGAAACACATATGTCAAAGATGTCAACACAAAGAAAACAATTGTGTTCATGGTGGCACCACATGCATTCCGCTGGTGTCAAAAGGAAAATGAGACAATTAAAAAATGTACAAATATTTATTTCAAATTTCAGGTCAAACACAAAATAAGGGATGATCCGGATATACACAGTATGACATAAAAATGGCATGCAATTGACATAAAAAGGACCCATATATACTGTATATATATATATATATATATAAAATCACAAAACACTGTATTTAATAAAAAATAACATTCAAAATACATAAATAGAAAGCAAATGAGTGGCTTTATAACAGTATTTCATACATCAGCAAGTGAAAAAAACAACAAAAAAAAACAATGGCAAGGGCACAAAATCAAAAGGGAAAATTCAGCTCAGTAAAACACATCATGCATAAATACCAGACGGACACTAATTGCAACATGGACTGCTAATACTTCTTTTCCACACTTGTATCATTGCACATAAACAGCATGGAATGCAGTTATGAAACTGGCATAAAGAAAAACATCCCCCATGTACTCATAATTGGAGTTTTTGTGTTAGCATTAAAGTTAACTCTAAGCTCTATAAAATAAATAAATAAATATATATATATATATATATATATATAGAAAACTGATTTTTTTCCAATCAAATACTTTCCTGAATGAGAATATCCCAAACAAACTGTGTTGATTCCTTCTTTATGTCTGGTTCAAACTTTCTGTTTCAATATATGAATATAGGACTCTAAATAGTAAGATCTCCCAAAGATCTAATACATTCAAGTAGGACACTAGGTGCCATGCTAATAAAGCATGCTGATTAGGTGGAAAAGAAGTGAAAGCGCTTGCATGTTTTCGCTAGGGAACGTTTGAGGTAATGACGTGAGGATTTTGCAATAACGATACAAAACAAAAACTCTAGAGAACTAGTGTAGCTGCACCTGAATAGCAGTGCACATTAGCATTAGCATTATGCTGGTTGTTGTTGGAGGCGTCTGCATGGTGGTGTTGCTGCTGGTAGGAGGCACATTGGTGGGCTCCATGATAAGGCTGGTGGACGTGGGGCGAGGAGGGTGAGCCGGACCCTCTCTGAGCCCGCAAGGAGGAGCTACGCTTGGGCACGTCTGGTATCAACTCCTCCAATAACCGCTGCAATATGCTATCATCTGGCATCCTTGCTGGTCCCTGCCCCTTTTCTGCCCTTATGTGGTCATAAATGTCCTGCAAAGCGGCATCTAAAGCCTCATAAATTGCAGTTTTGGATTTTGGCCGACCGCTTCTGCAATGTCGTCGTTGGGTCGGTGGGGAGCCTCGTTTCCGGCGGAAAGGCACAGGGCTGACCAGAAAGGCCAGTTTGGAAAGGCCTGACTCACTGGGTGACTGCTGGGCTAGCGGAGATGTAGAGGCAGGGTGGGACTCCTGCCGAGCCCTTTCTTGTTGTCGCTCATGTTTTAGCATGGTGGTGAATCGTGTATAGGATGCTGGACAGCGACCCTTACATGAACTGATGAGGTGGCGGTGTTGGTAACCTTGACTCTGACCGACACTCTGGTGCATGTGATGGTGGCGATGGTAACGGTGTCCATGGTGATGGTGTCCATGATGGTGATGTTGCCCAGAACCGTAAAAGCTCTCCGATGAGGTAAATGAGCAATGATCCAGGTCACTTTCACTACACAGTGAAGATCCTTCTATGTGGATGTCGCTCATTTCGGAGGCACAGGCGTCCTGCTCACTGTCCGAGTAGTCTTGATGCCTCTGGTTCTTCCCATGAATTGGCACCAGGCTACTGCTGTCTGGTCCCGGTTTTGGCTGTCCCTCAGGGGGACTTCGAGCCCTTTCTGGAGGATCCTCTTCCTCTAAAAGTGATTCCACAGAAAAGCGTCGTTTGGGACAGCTGCTGGCCCTTGAGGACCCTGGTGTGGTGGTGCCCGAAGGAGCATTTTCGTCACCAAGGTCTGGCATTGACTTTGATTTCTGGATGAGCTGTTCATATTCTGATATAAGGTTTGGGACCATGTGTTGAGGTACCTCATTACCGAAAGGTGCCCAACCATGGAGGTTGTGCCTCTGTTGCTGCTGTAGCCGTTCCAGCTCAAGGATCCGTGCACGTACAGAACGAATCACCTCTGAGGGCAACAGCTGCTCACGGTCTATGTGGTGCATTTTCTTGTAGAGCTGAAGGAAACCTGGAGTATCATGTGGCATCTTACGGCGGTGATGTCGGCGCCCCCTGGGAGATGAGGTAAGACTTTTTACTTGAGGCGTCTGTGGAGCGTCTTCATCGAGCAATGAACCTGCACTTTCAGAGCGAGTGGTAGTCACAGAAGTGGATGCTCTCCCTCCATTACTAGCACCATGTCCATCAGACAACAAATCATCACAGCTACGCGATTTGAGCCGTGGTGATGACGGAGTCACGACAGATTCATCGTCAACACTACTCCAAGTCTCTGCAGCTTCATGTCGGCCTGTCTGCCAACCGTTCTTGAAGCAGATGGAGCGCTTGGAGCCACGCCAGGTTGGTGTGGAGATAGTGAGGGAGTCTGAGGAGAGACGAGAGGAAGGGCGCTCCATACCTGGAGAGCTCATACAGGAGGAGAGTGACTCACTAGCGTCTCCAGCTGTGAATTAAAATAACATCCAACGCAGCATGGCAAAGAGGAGACAGGAAAGCTGGTTAGTGAGCTCAGCTGACAGAAAATGACAAAGCGAGAGAAAACAGGTATCAGTAAAAGTGACAGAAAGTCAGAATGTGTCAGTAAATTTATAACAGAAAGGGGACAACATGCAGACTCACATAATTATGATCTTATACAAAAATTGTAACATTTTGCTAGGAGTAAGTCTAACCACAAATGTGACCATCTAATGAAGGAACGAGAAGTGAGTTGTTTCGGTTTCTGGCACAAATCAAACAATATATACAGATAGAATGGTGACAGAACAAATCCATCGAACAGAATAATGCAGCACTAATGTAATATGCCATTAGGCATTGATGCATAATCGAAACATCTTCAGCAACATTTGACCAGTCTAACACCTTCTGTTAGCATTTGTAGTTGTGTGACTGTGTCTGAAATTACCTTTGGGTCTGGATGGTGAGGAGGGGGAGGAACGTATGGTGGGCTTCTTCAGTGTCTGTGCTTTATTAGAGTCCAGTGGGTGGGAAAATACTTGACGTGCATTCTGCTCACTTCCTGTGTTGGCTTGAGTGACAGATGGTTCCGACTTTCGCCTTTTCTTGTAGTCACTTGCAGAACTAAGAATCCCAAAAAATAATAAAATAACCAAAGCAAAACATTATTTTTGACTTTAAAGTTCTATACAATTACTGAATAAATTGATAGAACATTATACTTTAACATATTATATGTGCAAACAAGATTACAACAAAATTATTTATTTAACAACATTTTAGGCCTAAAAATACATAATTAAGGGAATAGCTATGCAATTTTAATGCTTTTGTAAAAAACAGTGTACAAACAACTAAGCCGTTTATGCCATTTTGGAAAATGGAAACAGCAACCAGGATGGCTTAGCTAGTGGACAATATACTCTGGTACATATACTGACAATGACACTCTGATTGCAGGGTCTTCTACACATTAAACAGTCCTAAATAAGGTTTCTCATATCCTTTACTCTGTAGATTCCATATGAATAGCAAGTGGCATTAAGCTAAAGATGATCTGAGAGGAGCAGGAGGTACATACAATGCTTAATACTCAAGTATGGGATGACAAATTCATATACACAGTGACAAAAATAAACGGTAGGAGAGCTTTTAAAACATGAGTAAATTACAATTAGACTGAGGATGCTCAGGTTCTATCCTCCAATGGATATCCAATAGGCATCTCTCTGGGAAATTAAAGAGCCTGAGTGAGAAAAGCTGGTATTAGAATGAAAGGGAAGCTTACCTTGAAGGCCCATCAGGTCGTTCCGAAGACGAGAGATAGAGGGATGACTGAAAGAAAGCAGACAACAAAAGAGAAGAGTGAGAACCATGGGAACAAAGAAGTGTAATACTCCCGTGCTGCGCCACAATCAAAACCTTCCCCCCCGCATGCACAGCCGTGTCTGACGAGGGTTCCACATCTCTCAATCCCACCTTGAAGGATTATGTAAATGAACTTTGACCTCCTGCGAGAATAAAAAAAGGGACGGGGTCCCACATTAAGCAGACCCCAACAAAAGCCAGTGAACAAAACAGTACAGATCCAGAAAAGCTGCACGTGGCACCAGGTCACAAGAAGCCCTGTCTATTATGTTGTCCAAGATCGCCATGCCTCCTTTCCTTTGACACAGCCTGGGGTGAATTACAACAAATCTGAGCACAATACAGCAGTCTCTGGTGTTCATTCTGGCTTATTCATGCGACTTGGGTCAGGGACAAGAAAGAAAAGCAATTACTGACAACACAGCATTTTTAACACACCAAAGCTGAACCTAGGTCAGATAGGAAGACAAATAAAAAGCCAATCCACAGGCACAGGAAAAGTGCAGAAAACTCACAACACAAACATGCACATGAACACATTCATTCAAAAACATAAATAGTAGAGGAAGAAAACCTGACAGTAAAATTAAATATACAAAAGAACATTCAAAAAAGCAGTTACAAAAAGTCCAAAATGCATATGTGGGTGTTCAATATTTTGTTATATTTTTCAGTAATATATTCATCTGACACTCCAGGAAAGCCTCAAATAAAGTGACTTTTCTCATGTGAACTAATTGTTTCACATTTAGTTTTGTATTTGTTTTATTGAAAAGGGTGTTTGTATAGTTTACATGGCTCATAAATTACTAGTAAATCTGACAACTAATTACAAAGAAGGCAAGTAACACATTAAATTAAACATGAAATTTTGAATTAGTATTTACTTGTAAAACATTCTCAAATCATTTTTAACAGTGTGTGGGTCAAAATGTTTTCCATTCGCCATCTGGAAAATAAATGATGGGAGAGGAGGAAAAATGAAAGGAAAAGAGAAAGACGGAGATAGTAGATAACAGCAAATTGCAGGATGAGCAACCACCAGCAAAGGAAGCATGGATGGATGGACAGGAAGGTAGATTTACCTGTGCCACAGCATGTGTGGAGTAGTCAGGATTATAATCCAACCTCTTTTTAGGAGGCTGGGTGCCCCGCCACCCAAACAAACAAACGAACAGCATAGAGGTGAAGATGAGGTGGAGAAGCAGGTGCATCATGGGGAAAAAGACACATGTGGAGAAAGTGACAACGTTAGGGCATGGAGAAACAGAGATCACACAAAACACACACAGTGCACACTCAACACACTAAGGTTCACTAGTATTCACCCTTCGTTTGTGAGTAATCGTCTACACAAGTGCCCACACATGCTTCACCTACCTTACACACACTGCCGCTTGTGTGTACATACTGTATAATACACACAACGGTGAAATTACATAGGGTTTCACACATATTTTGCTTGTTTACACATGGTGGCAGCAAACTCAACCAATAAACAAGCAAGGAAGAGTGTGTTCTATAGGAGCTGGAGGACCTGTGCATAAATATCTTATTTATGAAAACACAGTGGCCTCCAAAACATATGGACATGTTTATGAATTTTAATGCATTAGATAAAATAAAATAATAAAAAATTCAAACTTTGGAACAAATTACACTCCTATTTACGCAATTACATTTGCAACTGGTCCCAATGTCATTTTAGTTCATGTACAACATTGAGAAGTCTGGGGTTATTAAGATATTAACACAATGCTAAATGCTAAAGGAAGCAGGAACGGGATGAGAATCTGGTGGTTTCTTCTATATATATTAACAATTTTTGTACTTTTTCATTTTACTGCCTCCCTGTGAATCACTTACACTACTATTCAAGTTTGGGGTCAGTAAGATTTTTTTTTCATAATGTTACAAAATAATATTGCTGCTTTTATTGTATTTTTGATCAAATAAATGCAGCCTTGGTGAGTTTAAGAGACTTTGAAAGGTAGTGTATGATGAGTATTCACAACATAAATCACCACAGATTTTGACGATGATGCGAAATTAATTTTTGTGAATTTTTCAATTAACTATTCTTTTACCTTTGGTCACCCAATCATGAATATCTGGTTACATCCTAGTTGTAGAAGATATGCTCAACTAAGTTTGACAACCAGAAAGTTCTACATGCTTTTTATAATTTTGTGCAGTTTATCTATTGTTTCAGCATTTAGAACTTCTTAAAGTGAAATTATTCAGCTTGAAAAGTGCAAAGTTTATATGTTGGTGTATAGATTAAATATCAAAACAGGACCACTGTATTATCCAACATCTGTTCATTTTTAATAAAAAGAGTTAAACTTGACTTAATAGTGTTTTCTGCACAGGTTCTGCAGCTATAAGAGCTGTAAGCTGTAAGAGCAGGTGTGTGATACTGCAAACAGAGCCAAAGCAAAAACAGTGTTACACACTAAAAGTTAAAACTTATTAAAAACCACTGCTATTCTTCTAAAGACAACATTGTACCCCGTAATACTTGCTCTTTCGGTGAGTATCTTGAAAACAGAGCATGATTGTTTACTTGAAATATTAGCCTTAGGATTTAACATCAGACATACCGTATCATATGTGTCTGATGTCTTACCCACTGCCTCTAACATTATTATTGTGCAAATTGTTATTGTGGTGATGTAAAATGTCATATTTCTGTTTTCAGTGTGCAAATTACACCAAGTTCTGAACAAGTCAGAACTTGAATTAAAAAACCACACACACACACACACACACACACACACACACACACACACACAAACAAACAGATGCTTGTCATTACACAACAGCATGTGTTTACCGGACAAGGAGATTACAGCCTACAGCATGCCAACCTGCCGCACTCTCACTCAACTTACCGGCCGTCCAAACTCCAATTCGGAAAAGAATTTAAACCAAGGCTCGTTCTCTAAATCTATGTCATCTGGGTTTAAATCAAATGTCTGGGGCAAGAAGCAACATAGAAAAAGAGAGGTAAGAAGAAGAGGAAAAACAATGAGAGGAAAACAGAGATGGAAATCAGGGTTAGGAGGACCAAAATATGCTGTAAGGACTGGTGAGCAAAGAACAGAGGAGGATACAATTTGGGTCATCAACACATTCTCACTCACACACATACTACACATATCACAGACATACATATTTGACAATATGTAATGTCAAATTAATAAAACTAAAGACATAATCCACCCAAAAATTTAAATTCTGTCATAATTTGCTCACCCTCATATTATTCAAAGCCTGTGTAACTTTCTTTCTTCTGCTGAACACAAAAGAAGATATTTTGAAAAACAGCTTTGGTTCCCATTGACTTGCATTGTATGGAGAAAAAAATACAATGGAAGTCGATGGGAACTGAAACTGTTTGGCTACCATCTTTCTTCAAAATATCTTATTTTGTGTTCCACAGAAGAAAGAAGATATATTGAAGAATGTTGGAAACCAAACAGTTTTGGGTCCAATTATTTTTTGAGTTCAGCAGAAGAAAGAAATTCATACAGGTTTGAAATGACATGAGGGTGATTCTCACCCTGCGTCCCAATGTTCATACTATCCATCCTAAATAGCATGTGAGATTAGAATTAGTGTGTCCCAAAGCATAGTATGTTGAAAAGAGTATGCCAAAAGTCCCCGGATGGTCTACTATTTCAGGTCGATTTTTGAAGTGTGGATCCATGCACACTCTAATGGCTAATAATACCCACAATCCAATGCGCTTTGACGAATGATTCGGTTGAGAACTACAAAATGCGTTTAAAAAACTACAGACATGGCGGATGCGCGCGACCAACGGTTAAATAGAGAGGTTTAGATAAAGGGGTTTGAGTTACTAATAATCAACATTTAACCTGGTAAAATAATGTTTATTTAATCTTATCTATGTTATATTTCATCTGCAACAGCAATGTAAACTTTTATAAACATTAGTTTGGTCGTTAACTTTTAAATGCATAATTATGCAGAAAATATGAGCAGAGTTCTCTGCATAAAGACCCGCGGCTGGCAGATCAACGTGCTACTTCTTTTCTCTCCGATATGGTAGGAAGTTATGAGTGGAAGTTAAATGAAATGAAATGTGGATGTTAACTGTGACAAGATGATTGACAGGCCAGTTTACAGTGACAGGATGCGTGTAACAGGTGCGACAGAGCGTACAGTTAAAGATGCAATGGTATGACGTGATAGTATGTCCCAAAGCTTGCCTACTCTTCTACTGCACACTCAAAAGTGTATACTTTTTCTTCACCACAAAAGTACATACTTTAAGGGCATAGTAGGCACATTGGGACGCAGCATTAGTTTCATTTTTGGGTGGACTGTCCCTTTAATATGTGTTGTGCCTCTCAGTACTGTCCAAAAGGGGGAGACATCATGCTTCTTCCTCTCTGCTCTCTCTCTAAAATCTATTTTTTTCTCTTCCTTAAGCTATGACTATACATGCTGAAAAAGCTGCCCACTCATTTTGCCACCTGGGACATCTCCCACTGCCACATCCACTGTGTTTGTGCTGAGGGCAGTGCTGTGATTCAGCCTCCTGACATTTCTATCTCATTGTTCTGTGAACCGCGGCGCTGGCTACGACTGCGCCGCTTTGTCTGACACCCTTCCAGCTTTCTACATCTACATTGCAAAACAAAAGTTCAATTGCTGTCAAAGGAGACATAAAACACTGAGGTAATTCCTCTCTTGAGCCATTTTATTTGTCTCGCCTTAGACAAATACAGTAGAATGTGACATTATTAAGGGGAGAATGGGACATACTGTATTGCAAAATTTAAATCTGCATTGTCCCCTTCATGAATACCACAGCTTAATGTTTCAGGCGAACCTAATAATTGATTGCTTTTAGTGCAAAGATTTGACCTACTACATGAACAGATACACAAAGGAAAAGAAAGCTTGCTGAAGCACCACATTGTTTACAATAAGCAAACTCATGGCTGATGGTCCATTATTTGGTCAAACGATCCATGAAACAGAGGGAAAATACAGCCTTAACACATGTCCAATCAGCAGGCTGGAAAACTGCAGTTTGACACTGTAGTAAACAGTAAGTTGGGAATGCGACACCTTCATAAAGTAGAACTCAAATGGCTGTAGGCTACAATGAAATAGAGAGTTTTCATAAGACAGGATTGCCGTTCAAAAATATTTTTTTAAAGACAGTTAAAACAATAATATTGTAAAATAGTATTAGAATATAAAGTAACTGTTTTCTATTGTAAAATATTTTAAAATGTAATTTATTCCTTTGATGGCAAAGCTGAATTCTCTGTCTTTAGTGTCACATGATCCTTCAGAAATCATTCTAATATGCTGATTTGGTGCTCAAGAAACATTTATTCGTATTATTAATGTTTAACAGTTGCTGCTTCATATTTTTGGGAAAACCATGATTCATTTTTTTCAGGATTTTTTGATGAATAGAAAGTTCAAAAGAACAGCATGTATTTGAACAGAAACCTTTGTAACATTTTAAATTGCTTTACTGCCATTTTTGATCAATTTAATGCATCCTTGCTGAATAAAAGTACTACTTTGTGTTTAAAAAATTTGACAGACCCAGACTTTTGAATGGACATACATATGAGAGAAACCATTTTTTTTTTTCATGGATGAAACATAAAACATGTTTAGAAGAACATTTAGGTTGTTCTTTTCAATACAATGAAATAAATGGATTCTGTATAGCTTCAAAAAATGAAATTGTCACCATAAAAGTATTATAAAAGTGGTGCATATGATGTGTGCACTATTCCATTCAATTGTTTTGAGGCCAAATGATAACTTTGTCGGAGGAATAAACCCAACTTTGTCATTATTTGCTGAAAATATGGTCAGAAATGAATGACATCAGTGACTAACATATGTGAACCAGAAACATCGTCATAAAAACCTGGTGTGACACGTGATATTTGAAGGTACATGTTTGTGTTCCACAGAAAAAAAAAGAAAATCATACAGGCTTGGTAGGCGAGTAAGTAGTGACAGAATGTTTGGGGACTTCTTTAAAACTTTTGACGTTTTCTGGGACACAAATGTGGTTTAACATAGAGCTAAAAAAGATTTTCAAAAGTCAAGTCTCTGCTAACAGAGCCATTTAATGGGTCTAATCTGCGTGGGGGACTGACCATGTACTGTATGTTTGATTTTGTGATTAAAGAGACTGTTACAGCACTGAATTACTTGTGGAGAACACAAGAACAGGATTGCCTTTAGACCTTAGCAACCTTGAGTCCATGTTATGTGAGGATTTTTACAACAGTTTAAATGAAACTGATGAAAAACAATCACTTATGTATAATGATTTAACTAAATAAGATCACTCACCGGCCTTTCTTGCTCAAGGATGGAGGATTTGCCAGGCTCATACTCAAAGATGCTCCGTGGTTCTGCCCGGTATTTACGCGTATCCACTTTTCGATCTGGAGGACCCCACTCATTTCTGCAGATGAGAATAATAACCAATCAGAGCGGTCGACACCTTTGGAGACTGTACACTGACAAAAATCTGGTGTAGGATTTACTTTGAAACAATTTTCACTCAGAAATTGCTAGTCAATTTCTAGCAATTGATTACAAAGAAACGGCAAGTGACACATTGAATTAAACTAAGAGTATTTTCTTGTAATTGCACTCCAATAATCTTTGTTTTATTCACAATTTTTTTGTTTTATTTACAGTGTAGCACATGAGGTCAGGTGTCTTACGGGTCGTGTGAGAACTCTTTCTCTCTGTCCATGTCTCTTGAGCGGAGCTGGAGGAGAGAGGGCATGGGAGGGGGCGGAGGGGGCACGGGGGATGGTGAGAGCTCCCGGTGGGCGGCACGGTCTGGCGTGTCTGAGGTATTTCTAGAGAGAGGCCGGTAGGTGTGCGTTCGAGGGGGCGGGTGGGCATGGACAGGAGGGTGATTATCTAAGAAAGAAGCACACATATCATAGTAATAAATTACTTAAAAAAACAAAAAAACAACAACTGTCTTTCTCTTTATTTATTCCTTCCCTTTCTAGCTTGTACTTATTTGAACAATGCCTAAAACTTGGTATTAGAAGCACTTCCTGTGTCTGTTTGCCTCTTTAAGAAGAATCACTTCATGCTCAAGAAACATTTCTTCTTATTATCAATGTTGTGCTATAACAGTTCAGGATTCTTTGATGAATAGAAAGTTCAAAAGAAGAGCAATTATTGGAAATAACACTAAAAGCAACCTTTTATAACATTATAAATGTCTTTACTGACTATTTATGCTATATAAATGAATTCAATTATATCAAAAGAAAAATCTTATTGACCTCACAATTTTAAATGGTAGTTTATATGACACATTCTTAAAAAAAAAAAAATAATTATTTTAAAGAAACATCAGTTCTCCCTTAAAACAAATATCATAGTCAAATATCATAATAAAACCATTGTTTAAAATTAAGACAAACAATATTTGGACATTTTCAAGATGTCAGCTCTTTAGTTGATTTTTTTAAAACATGATTTTTAACTCAAATCAATGTTTCATGCATATTATTTGTTTATTTGCTATAGAATATAACCATTTTTATTGTACATTTTATTAGTTACTATATGCTAAAAACACTTCTTACAACGCAAAAACAGACTACACACAGAATTCAGACTTTTACTACACACATAGTGTTAGATTTTAAGTAAGCAGAAATGTAAGTTAATATCAGATCTTTAGATTTCACAGAACTTACCGTTGTTTATGACAGCGTATGTTGCATTATATGTGTCTGCATAGTCATCATCTGGTGAAAACAGCATTAAAAAAAATTAAAATGGAAAACTCTGTGTGAGATTAAAAAACACACGAAATGAACACTACAGGATATGTTCTGTGTATCCTCCCACTCACTCCATCATACACACCTGCTTTATGAACCATGTGGATCTGTTTGAACATGGTCTTGTACCAGTCCTTGGGTCTGTCCACGGTCTAAATAGAAGCACAAACACACACACAGAAGTGGTTGCCTTGTCAGTTTGCTGGTTAAGCGCACAAACAGCTAACAGCATTTGTCATTTCCTGACAACCAACACACAATCACTAGAGCACAGAGAGAAAAACAGACAGGGAGTATCATAGTAACCTGCCAGGAATGTTCTCTTCTGCTCACAAACACACACATTCACAGATAGTCTGAACTGCTGAGAGCTCAAAAGCATTCCTCTAACCACAATAAGAGGATCAAATGTCAGAACAACTCAAACACAAATCAAGAAAAAATGCCCTCAAAAGAGATTAACAGCTGATCTGCTGTTTTAAATCTGACCAGTGACAGTCAGACAGCTAGATGTCATACTGTTTAAAAAGAATGAGTGATGGGTTTTGTTCTGTTACGCTGATGCACCGTGATAGGTAATACAATATCACGTAAATCTCAGTTTTTGTACTAACCATTCGCAACCACAAAAAGTGGCAGAATATCCTGTCAGTCCTTTTTGGTTTTTATTTCTGTGCCATTGTGGTGTATCGCGTCATCAACTCAAAATCTCATTGGATCAAAACACTGCTTCATAAAAGTACCTTTATATAAACAGTACAATAAACAGAAGTTAATACTAAGTAACTTTTAAACACAATAATGGCAATTACTTTGTGTATTTTGCAAACAAAAATAGCTCCAAATGAAATCAAAACCACTCGCGTTTCTTTCATGATTCAATAATGAGTACGTTTACATGGACAACAATAATCCAATAATAACAATTAAGACAATACTCTGATTAAGAATCTACCATGTAAACAAAGATTTTTGAATAAAGTTACCTTAATCCGGCTAAAGTCATACTCATACTCGAAGTAAACACAAATCGAATTAAGACATGTGGAGTATTCCTAGTTTAGCTGCATTACTGAAGTACAGTCTAGACATGTACACACCTTAATCACACTATTACCGTTGTGTAGGACTTTTTGCCGACAGTGGTCAACCGTTTGACGGCAAACAAAAGAGCATGGCTTCAAGCAAGAAGGCATATTTTTATCCGTCGTCGTCTGTTTGCATGTATAGCATGACATATAATTAACTGCACTTGAAGCTATCGTAAAATTAAAAATGAAACACCCAAAACTGTTTAGTAATGAAGACGAACTGTGTGTTGATTCGTGAAATTCTGGAGGGAACGTCGGATGGCGTCGCGTGGAAACGTAATGAGGTGTACCATAAATCGATCTATGTACTATAACATGTAAAACGGGAACTTGAAAGGAATATTCTAGAAGGAACTCATGTAAACACCTTAATCATAATATTGTTTTATTCAGAATAAGGTAAATAATCAGATTACTGATGTCCATGTAAACGTACTCACTGACTCACTCCTAAAGACAACATACTGGCTTAAGGATGTAACTCGCAGGCTGTCAGTTTGTCTGAACATGAAACAAGTGCTGTTGGACTAAAATAATACAATTCGAAATCCAGATCAAACTGATTTATAATAAACAATTAATGCTTACTGTTTCTATCACATGATGCATCAGTTATGGACAGACAAATTACTTGTCAGTAAACTTAGCTGATTATAAATATAACAGTCATAAACTAAGACAAAAAAAAAATCACTATATGCTTTGTAAAGTCATCGAGACACCAGTAATGACAACTGTGTCTAAATTGTGGTATATATAATCAACTCTCAAGTTTGCTACAATGAAACATAGCTGGTATATATCAAATCAGAAGCAAAATACACAGAAAAAAGGCACATGATTTTCTTTTAAACAATTTTCACTCTGAAATTGCTAGTAAATGTCACAAATAATTACAAAAAACAGCAAGCAACATTGAATCAAGCATGCAATTTGTAAGTAGAAAGACTAAAAATAGCATTTTCTTGTAAAACATACTTAAGTCATTTTTTATTTTATTTAAAACTAAGAAAAATAATTTTTATAGTTGTTTTTAATTTCTGTCATTTTTGTCAGTTCCCTTAAAAATGCCTGGATATCACTCACCGTTCGGATGGCGATGGGAATACCTGACTCATCCACTGGTCCAATGCCTTCGTAATGGGGCGCTTTTATGACGGACACCTTCTTCTCTTCCTCTGAGAAACGAGCGATGGGCACAGAGCTACTGACCACTGTCTCACCAGAGACAACAGTCTCTCTCTTCACCGTCTCTGAACCCTCTGAGTGAGAGAGTGAGAGAAAGGTTGGCGACAGATTAGAAAAAAAGACTAAAACAATGGCTGTGTAATTTTTTCTGTCCTTTACAATTGATTCTAGTCAAATTGTGACCCCAGTAACAGTCTCTCTCCCTGTCACTCTCCCTCACACACATCATTGATTACCGTGCCGCCACTGGCTCTTCATTAGACTGCTGCCATAGATATGGTCACACTGCAGGACTTAAATTTTGTTACTGTTAGGACTTCATCGGATGCTAAGATTCATCATAAAGGAAATTAATTGGTCTTCCATGAGAACGTCACACTAAGCAATCAAAAGCTGCCTTTGATGAAAGTAATCTATACTGATGCTCAAAATTTGTATCAGATGGCATAATCATGGCAAATATCACACAGAGTGTCAGCCTGAAAAAGATATGGTGACAGAAATTGGGAATAGAAACTAAATGGCGTGTTTGAGCTTGACAGTCACAGTCCAATCTAATCTAATAGAGCAGGAACACTGACATGGCACAAGCTCTCACCCTGACTAAGCTTCCTGAACTACACTCTTAAAAATAAAGGTGCTTCACGATGCCATAGAAGAACCTTTTTGCCCAAATGGTTCCATAAAGAACCTTTAACATCTGAAGAACCTTTCTGTTTCACAAAGGGTTCTTTGTGGTGAAAGAAGGTTCTTCAGATTATAAAAAGGTAAGAAAGAGATGGTTCTTTAAAGAACCTTTGACTGAATGGTTCTTTGTGGAACCAAAAATGGTTCTTCTATAGCATCGCTTGAAGAACCTTTTGAAGCACCTTTATTTTTAAGAGTGTATGAAATCTGTATGACACAGCATACATGAGGCAGCTACATTTATTCCTTCACATCTATGCAGGTTTGCAGTAGCAACAAGGCAATGACATGAGGAAACACTACAGCAAACTATTTGTCAGCATCTTTATTTAAACTACTACAAAAATTATATGAATTTGCCTTCCTAAGCAAATCCCTGCCAAATGGTCAGATCTTTGCCTCTCCTCAGTTTCCCTCTGTTCAGGTATTGATTGCTCTGGTCTGGCCTAATGGATGCAAATGCATCATATCCTGTGTGAACTGGACTGCACTGTAACTACCAACACAGGCATCCACTAACAAGAATTGTGCATTACAAATCCATTATTTCAGAGCACCAAAACTAGGACTCAATCAATTGAAGGAAAAAAAAACAAACAAACAAAAAATATTAAGGAAAGTCTACATTTGCTGTGTCTCAATATGCCTACTTCCATACTACGTAGTATGTGAAAAACAGTATGCTAAGAGAGTAGAATGTCAGAATTCACAGCATTCTAAAAATAGCAGACAAAAACTACCCAGATGACCGACTGCTTCCGGTGAGACTTTGGAGTGCACATTTGATGGACACTTTACTATCCCATAAAGCTACACGAGAGGAGTTGTGAATGGAAGTTAAGCGTCATAAATGACACTCGAAGGTCTTGTGACAGTGACAACATGGCGGATGTAGTACATCCAAATTTCATTTATACTACCCATTTTCATTCTATATAGAACATGCTTTTTTAACTGCTGTGAAGTACGTTTCAAACAAAAGGTACTATAGAACTTGTCAAAAAATTGGAAACATTATGATTTTCAATTGTTTTAATGAGGTCAAATTATGCAGAAACCACAATATACTGACATTCAAATGTTTGGGGTGTGTGTGTTTTGTAATAGAAATTAATGCTTTTATTCAGCAAATATGCATTAAATTGATCAAAAGTGACAGTAAAAACATTTATAATGGCACAAAAGATTAATGCTGAAAATTCAGCTTTGCATCACAGGAATAAATTATATTTTAAAAAACATTCAACTACAAAATAGTTATTTCAAATGGCAATATTTCACAATATTACCGTTTTTACTGCATTTTTGATTAAATAAATGCAGCCTTGATGAGCATAAGAGAGTTCATTAAAACATTTTAAAATCATAATATTTCCATTCCAAACTTTTGACAAGTACTGTATCTGCTAGTACTGCTATTTAAAGTGCATGACGAAGGAGTATAATCCAAAAATAATCTTTGAATTATAAATCCATAAGGAATACACACAGGAGAATCGCAGGAGCAAACGTAGCACACACAATGGAAAAGAAAAAATAACCCGCAACAACTGAATAGAACAGGGAGTATAAATAAGGAGACTGAATAAGCAACATTTTGCCGATAGTAAAAACTCTGCTTTGTAATACTAGCCATAGGTGTGTGTGGGACTCTCCACTCACCTGAACTACGATCCTGCAGGATCTTTACCAGTCCTGGGCTGAGGGTTGGGGGTGGAGGTGGGTAAACAGGTGGAGAAAAGGGCCTCTGAGATTGAGAGCTTCCATTCATTGCCATCTGACCCTGGGCAACAAACAAAAGTTTATAAGTGATGGAAATATGGGCAATGTAATTTGTAGAGTCACTTTAGGTCAAACAAGTATGAGTGGGTGACAGCTATGGGACAAAAAGAAGTTAGAAGAATTAGAAATGTAAGACATGAGAGTACACATCAAAAGACAAATTTGAAAATATTACAGATACTGTACAACAAATGTATCTGAGTAATGTCATTACTGAGGAAAATGCTGTTACAAAAAAAGACAAAGGTTGTGATCAGACGTTGGTGCTTCTGTAGTAAAATGAGAGGAATGATGGACGACAAATGGAAAACTGAAAAACTGTGAGACCACATGACAATAAACACTTTAAAAGAACCTTTAGTAGATAATGAGTGCAGGACAATCTATGTAAGAAAGAGTGTTAACACTGGAATATGGTTGCATTATACATTCATATTCCAAAGAAGGTCAAGTCTTCAGTCACCAGAGGCAATATAAAGATGCACGTTAATCTCAAACGCACAACATAATAGGTCACAAGGAAAATCCTAGATCATCATAGGAACCTTAAAGCCCACATGAAATTAAAATGAACCCTATTTCGATTCCAAGTGAACATGAAATTAAAATGGGCTTTTTTCAAACACATTCCTGGACATTACTCCAAAGAAATGTGTATAATCTTATATATATATATATATATATATATATATA